ACTTCAACTCCCGGAATTCCCCAGCCAGCATGGCTGGCTGGGGAATTCCGGGAGTTGAAGTCCGCACATCTTAAAGTTGCTCAGGTTGAGAAACACTGTTGTAGAGGGAATAGGGAATGGCCTTGAAGGATAGGAGGAAAAGCCACTGCTAAAGCAATGGTCAGATAAGAGGGGCTTGAGCCCAGGCCAAGAAACTAATTTGAGAAAATGTTTCAGATGAGCCCCTCCCTAGTTCACACAAAGATTGGTTTCTTCATCTGGCCTACCTTGTAGGATTGACAAAGGCTGTGTTTGGTGTGACTTAAGTAATAGTCTGGGTGGTCTTTGTTCCCCCAATGGCTGTGCATAAATTTGCAAAGCCACCGTGTTGTTTTGCTCAACAAAGAGTCCATTGGAGTTGGGGGGCTAATACATTCAAATAAATAAATAAACCATGGGAAAAATAACTCCCGGTTCCAGATTGGTTATCTTGCAGGGGACGAAAGGAACTTACCTAGTTCTTCCTGAATCTTCTTCTGAATTTCGGGATAAGTGATGAGATACATAAGGGACCAGGACAACCCCACAGTCACTGTGCCGAAACCTGTCACAACACACACACACACAAAAAGAGGGTGTTGCAGATCAGAAACAACTTCGTCTTGCACCGTGTCTCACTTGCTTTTGCCAGATGCTTCCACAAATTCCTTTTCTCAGGGACAGAAGAGTGAAAGAACTCAAGGTCCATCAAATCCAGACCAGGCAAGGAATCCTTGCAACTAAGGACCCTGCTGCATCAGTCCAAAGGACAGTTGTGTCACACTATCCCACAGCAGCCATTCAGAAGCCAATGAAAATGTGATGGTCTGTGGGAATGACCTGGGGAGACAGGAGGGAGAGCGCAGGCCGGACAACCGGCGCGTAAAGGGTGTCTCAGCCCACAGAGGGAGGGAGGGCGTGGGAAGCATCTCAGAAGGGACCCTCCCCAGTTTTCTGGAGAGTAAAAGGAAAGGTGGGGAGAAATACTTTCAGTCTTGCAAGATTCTGTTAATGTAACCGATAAAGATAGAGCTAGGACTTCTGGTTGTGCTTCTTGTCCGGACTACTTTGCAGGGCTAACATCAATCTTGCACAATTGAAAGTATTTCTCCCCACCTTTCCTTTTAGTCTCCGGAAAACTGAGGAGGGTCCCTTCTGAGATGCTTCCCATGCCCTCCCTCCTTCTGCGGGCTGAGACATTCTTTACGTGCCAGTTGTCCGGCCTGCACTCTCCCTCCTGTCTCCCCAGGTCATTCCCACAGACCATTACAGAAAAGCTGTTAAGTAGGATATAGAAATGATATCTGTAGCTGCAGAATCTGTAGTTCAACCACTAGTATTCAGTGACAGAAAACATGGAAATTCTGCTGATTTTATCTATAATACTTGTCCTCCAGGGGGTTGATTTTGATTAGGCCAGTGTTTCTCAACCTTAGCAACTTTGAGTGGACTTCAACTCCCAGAACTCCCCAGCCAGCTGGCTGGGGAATTCTGAGAGCTGAGGTCCACTCATCTTAAAGTTGCCCAGGTTGAGAAACACTGGATTAGACCCTCAGGTGAAGACCTTACCAGCCCCAAAAATGTCATTGACAAGATTCACAATTTTTCCAGATGGAAGCTGAATTTTCACTTTCTGCTTTTGACTTTCCTCAATCAGAGAATCAGTGATGTCGCGGATGTGGTCCTGAAAGAGAAGATCAACAATATTTGTGATGGCTTTGCAATCGCCACATAAGATTCAACATCAAGAACGGCCAGCTTTTGTTTTAGGAAGCCCAGGTTGATAGACAATGAACAGAAGAATCATTTTTTCATAGAAGAGAAGATGAAGCAAAGGTTTGATTTCTTATTGAAAAAACCCCCAGTACAACTGGTTTTTCATCAGATTTTGACTGGAATTTGTATTAAGAGTATAGAACAGGTTAACTTTGATCATAGGGGTGAATTTATCAAACCCCAATGATGTCAGAATTGGTATACCTAGAAGGGTGTAATTTCTTACCTTTCTGAAGCTCTCATAATGCTCTTTAACATTCTTCTGCAGGAAGTGAGTAAACTGCTTATTGAACATCTTATACATTTTCAGGCTGCTGTTTGGAAGATACCGAAGAGCAGGGATGAAATCAGCAAGGCTTCCCGAGGCTGTGGTTTCCAGAAACACTTCGTTGTTGTCCACAATGCTAATGAGTTCCTCATCATTGTAGTCATAACGCTTGCCAAAACATAGGGCTAAAACCACATTGGCCACAGAGATCACAAGGTACTGGTAGGGGTCAAGACGGTTCTTTGCAAGCATCACCTCCTGCAGTTTTGTAATCAGATGGTTGACCTCCTTGGAGACATGATCTTCCAAGAGGCAAGTGGAGAAGGAGGTGGGACTGGGTGAGGAAGCAAAGGTTTTCAAGGCATTCTGGGCCAGTTTCCGGCGAGCGAACCACACCTCTCCAGAATCTCTGCTAAAACCCAGGCTCTGGCCATCTGCCACATGGCGGAAGCTGTAAAGGTCAGGGCGTCCCCTGAAGTCTTCTCCTTGCCTCACTAATGCTTGCTTGATAGTCTCCAACCCACTCAGCACCAATACTGGCTTTGTCCCGATGTGGATCATCATGATATCTCCGTAGGTCTGCCTCATTTGAGTCAAACTGAGGTGGAGGTTCTTCCTCACTTCCAGCATGTTGCCAATCAAGGGATAGCCCCATGGTCCAGGGATTCTCTTTAGGCCTGGGGGAATCTGTTCCTGGAAGGACCGGAGGGCAATGAAGAGGAGACAGAAAACAGCCAGGGCAATTAGGACCTCTGTAGTTGAAACTGAACCCAGGATTCCCGTGAGCCACATGGCAAACCTGGATACTGTGGTCTTCAAAACTCTATTGAAATTAGAGAAAAGATGGGGCAGGAGGTACAATTAGGAAGGCAAAAGCAGTAATAGAGTCTAGGGCTGTTCCAAGAGTCACTTTGGAGAATCAGTTCCAAAGTGAACACTGATGGATTTGACTGAAATACTAAATCAAAGCAAAACTCAAATCGGATATCTCTGCACCTCTTTATCTTCATCTCCCCTCCTGGGCAGCTTTTCCCAAATCAATTCAATCCCAATGACTTGAACTGGATTGGATTGACATGAAGCCATGGATTGAATCTGATTGACTTCTCAAACTTAACTGATAGGAATTGGTGGCCTGCATTTGCCCAGGCATCTTGGAGATCCCAAAAGGAGGAATCAGGGCATGGAGAAATACAAGATTTGTGGAGAGGGACAGATTTGGGGGAGAAGTGGGGCAAAGGCCTTTCTGAAGAATTTGCAGATCAAATGAGGAAGAACTCCCATGAGCCATATTCAGTCACAAACATTGGTACGTTAGTATTGCCAATTTTCATAGCTATCAAATTCTTTCACCAGAGACACGTAGCCAAGCCTTTTTCTTCCTTTTCTAGGGAGGATCTCACCTATCCTATACCGTATGCTGTAAAATAGGAAGCACCCCATTGATCTTCTAGTGACTTGGAGAAGGACAAAATGCAGCATCTTCCAATGGAAGAAAGAGAATGCAGCGCTTTCATAGCTCAAGAAAATAAATCTCTCTGTCTTCACAAGAGACTGAAACCCAGATCATTGTTTGTAGGTTTGCCACCTGATTGCCTGCAACAAGATTGCCCAACCTGAATTCCCAAAATAACATGTTCCCTTCCTCCCCCATCCTGGAAACTTTGGGTGCAACCTCCCAAAAATTGTTATTCAATTGTAAGGTTTAACTCTGAAATGATTTTACCTGCAGAGTAATCGTGTGAACTGTGTTTAATTCATATCCTCGTAATTAACTTAAACCACATTGGAGGGTTTTCCTGATTTCTGGCTACCTTTGCTTTGGGGAGTAGGCTTCCCCCTTCCCCATCCCAACACCATTCAAAAGTTAAAGGCAGCCCACATTCCAGAAAAAAAGTCATTTCTTGGCCTCCGACAATAAATACCTGGTAATATTAGGCGGACTAAGAACTAGTAGTGATGCCAACGCAGTCTACAATTGAAAGTTCTTTCCCAAATGCCTTTAGCTCTTTCTCTCACAAGCCATTGTATCTTGAGAAGGTGCTTTATGCTCTCCAGCCTGGGAAATGATTATTTAACCTACAAACATCTGTCTATAGCCAAGTCCAGCTGGAGAAAATCCAATGAAAATACTCCAGTTCATGGTATTGGGCTAAAACCAGGTAATAAATAATGTGCTTCTTGATTACCAAGATCATTCCAGATTTTTTTCTGGTAATGTGGAGAAGGAGGCTGGATTTCTCTTTTGCATTCAACCATTGTTTACATAGGGCTTATCTAATAAAGTCCAGTTGGCTGGGTTTGCACAACACGTGAATCCGTAAGGCCTGATGCTGAGCCAAAAGCAAACAAGGTCCAAGGTGGCTCACAGTGCTGTGTGAACCTGTCAACCCTTCAGACTAGGAAAACCAAAGTCATGCTTGCTAATACTCCTTTTATTATAAGTTTAGAGCAACAGAACCTTGCAAGTCTGAATGCGTTTTCCCCTCCCTCCCTTTATCTTCAAGAGAACTAGGGAGGGCCAACTCTGAGTCTCTTTCTCAAATGACATTTCTGCTTCGGACTCAGATTTCTTCGATCTGACCATGGTCTTGGCCGCAGCTCTTCCTCCTGTTCCTCATGGTTATTCCTTCTTCCCATTACAGAACCATGCCAGAGTGAGTTGCCGTCAATGTGGTATTTGATGACTTCCATTTCCAGCCAGCCAGCTGCTGGTCTTCTTCAAGGAAACTCAGACAAAGAATGATGTTAGTTTGTTTGCTGAAGTGGAGAGATTGTCCCTTCTTAAGGATTCAGAAGAATGAAAAAGAACTGCCTAATGGTAGAGCCAGCTCCAGTTATGTTCCTGGGCAACAATCTTTCCCCTGATTCAGAAGTGGTTCTGGACCTTGGTGGACCATTGGGGTAATCATCACCTGGTCAAGAAGAGACAGAATCTGCTGGCCAGGCAGGATAAAATCAGGTTAAAGATTATCCAAGTTTGCGTGAGAAGCCTTTGGGAGCAACTTCATGCCGCTCTTCAGAGCCAAAGAAGAGAAAACAGACAGGGATAAGGGAAAGAAAAGTTCAGGGTATCTGAAATTGGGCTGTAAAGAACAGCCTGGAAGGAGGAATGTGCTTTTGTGAAGTGACTCATTGAATGACCAGAGCCTTTCAAAGGCTGCAGGAGCAGAGCATTAATTGGAGTTCCCCCTCATGATTCCCTCCATTGCGTTTGCCTACTGAACTCAACGGTGAGCTGGAAAAGGGGGAAAACCACAAAACATTGAAATCTCTTTTGGAAGATTTATACATTGCGATTCATTGTACTGACTTGAATGAACAATATTGTTGCAACTGAGCCTTTCAGATCTTGACTTTTGGTAGGGGCCTCTCCATGTCTGAGACCCAGGGAATTGGACCCCATGGCTTCCTTCCCCCACCAAGGCCATGGAAATGACTTATCCTTACAAGAGGTTTGTTGTGGTCAGTCCTTAGGAGAAGAGTTCACTGCTGGTCCCAACTACAAATGGGTGTCCAGACGGGCTCTCATAGCGGAATCAGGTTCTGTGGAGAACTGTGATTGAAGGGAGTTTGTCAGATCTTGTAACCTTGGTGTGGTGGTGTCTGCATTTGAGGGACCGAGCCACATAATGTGATCTAACCCCTGTATGCTTTGCTGCTCCTCTTGCTATTGAAACACACAAAAGAAAAAAAGAAGAATTTGTATGGATTTTATCACTCACAGCCTTATGTAAATGCTTGGATCGTACTGAGTAATTCATTCGTTTGTACTGAAGTCAGTTTGCCTGCCTTTGAAAGAGGAAAACATCTGCAGAAGATTATGCAGGTCGCGGAGCATCAAATGTCTCTATAATCCTCTTGTTCAGGTCCCTTTTTCAGACCGTTGTATAAATGACAGGGAAGGGGTGTCTTCCTCCCCCCCTCTTGCAACAACAATCTTTTTGCAAACATAAGAGTTTGAGCTCACAATGCCCATTTTTATTGTGATCCTTAGTTTCTAGACCATGGGCACATACTGAAAAAAATAGTAGCAGCTCCATAAAATAATGAGTTTATCTAAGCAAAATCAAGATGTGAGAAAATTTCTAGCCAAAAGGCCTTCCCTATAGTCACAGACCACATCATAAGCACTCATCTCTGGGAATTAGCTGAATTCCTCAATTTCTTCCTATAAAAAATCCATACTACATGCATGCAATCCTATTTTTTAAGTTAGTTGTAACTTTAAATGCACACCAGCATGAACACCAGAACAGTTTTCTATTGACATGGATAAACTGGATATTCCAATTCGCTGTTTTACACAGTCCTACCCTCTTCCTATACTCTTGACCAACTTAGTTGTAGTAAGTTCATATAATTTTACAGCCATTAAACTGGGGAGGATCTGGTTCATGCTTGGCTTGGAGACCTATCAAGACATCCTGAAGACTTTAGTTTAAATTGGAGAGTTGAAAAAAATACCCTAGGAGAAGGCAGTGGCAATCCATTTCTGTTCTGCTGCCAAAGGAAACTTCACAAATGCGTTCATGAATTCACTAAGAGCTGAGCTTGGCTTGAGAGGAACTTTAACCTTATCTTGTATAAATAATAACCAAAAAGGCTATTATTCTGAAGACTCTCTGTTAAATCTTTTATAAACAAAGGAAGTTCTAAAGCACCTAGGGCTGCAAGCCAAAACAGAGATGTCAAAAGCTGTTTTGACTAAAGACACTGCCACTCATTGTCAAATACCGTTTATATTATATTTCCTGAAATGCTGGGATAAGACTTGGTAAACCAGTCGCCTTTGATCTCAGGAGCCCAAACTGTGCGATCTGTTTTGGAGGTGGCTATCATCCAAATTTTTCTCACCCACTGGTCTCCCAGGTGTGGAATCACTCCTGTTCCCATCAGCCCCAGCAATGGTGGCTAATGGTTAGAGAGGAAGTGTGCTCCAGTAGTCCAGTCATTTTTGGAGAATCCAAGGCTCGGGGGTTGCTGGGCCTCCAGAAGACACTCAGCTTCTGGAGCCCTCAAATGTCCTACAGCATTGGAGAGACTCCTGAATGGCTGGATGGTTGACACCAGTATTGGAAGAGGAAGGGAGAGAAGTACAAATATTAATTAAAGTATTTATTTCAGATCTTCCTCCCAGGAATCCAAAGTGGCTGACGTCATATTGTGACCATAACAACAGCTTAACCATTTTGTAATGCTATGTTGTATTGACTAGGATTGTGCTATTCTGTTATTATTGTACTTCTTAAAATATTTAAAACATTGATTCCCCACTTTTCTTCAATGTGTCTGGAGCAGATACAACACATTTGCTCAATAGATAACTGAGCCAAAACCACTTTAAAATACATTTACTTATTTATGTGTGTGTGTATTTATGCCACCCAACAGCTGAACCTCTCTGGGAACACACTAAAACACATTTTAAAAACCCAACAATTTGAATAAAAGCATGTACAATCCAGTCAAATGCAAAATAAAAACACCATATAAACTAGGCAGCAGCAAGGCGCACAAACCCTAAAACGATATGATTTTTTAAAAAAGAGAATTCAAAGTCAATGGAAAATGTAAATGGAAAGGTCTTCATCCGATGCTGAAATGATGCTAATGTGAGTGCCAGTTGGGCCTCTTAGGGGAAGGTATGCCATAAATGGGGGGCTACCATAGAAAAGCTCTCCTGCTTGGAGAGGCCCACTTTGCCTCCTTTGGGGAGGGGGCCTGGAGGAGAGTGCTGTTAGACAACCTTAAAGTCTGGCGATGTAGTAATATGTGAGAAAGACCTTGAAAAACAGGGTGAAGAGATGCTGCCTAGGGAACGGTCAGATAAGAGAGGGCATAGCCCACAATTGCATAATGGGTGGAGAAAGAGGCTCAGAAGGGACCCTCCCTAACTTCTTGGGCTGTAAAGGAGATGATGGGAGATTTGTACTTTCAGACTTGCAAGATTCTGTTAATGTAGCTTTACAATAAAGTAGAAGTAGCGCAGCTGGTTGTGTTTCCTGTCTGGTCAACCTGGGAAGGCTGATAGGTAGATAAACGTGGGAGAAGCCGCTCCTTCAGGTAACCCGATCTTAAGCCATTGAGGCCTTAAAAGTCAAAAACAGCACTGTGAATTGGGTCGGGAAGTGGACTGGCAGCCAATGTAGATGGCAAAGTACTGGCATAAAACATTCATATCAGCCAGTCCTGATGAACTGTCTCAGGTTTTGAACTTGGATAGTGGGTTAGACTTCCAAGAATACCCTGGACAGCCAAGAAAACAAACTGATTGATCCTCAAAAAAATCAACCCAGAGTTCTCACTTGAGGCATGAAGGACCAGGGTCAAATGATCCTACTTCAGACACATTTTGTGAAGACCCAGCTCTCTGGAGAAGGCTCTAATG